GGTCTACTCCACTTCCTTGTTGCCTGCTTAGACTCTTGGCACTCTTAGGTGAGCAGACTTAGTCAGCCTGTGTTGCCCTAACACACTCCTTATGATGTCATCTTCTGTGGATGTTGCCCAGATATTTGTACAAGAGGTTGTACACTTGCACAGCCTCCTGGCTAGCATAGTCTTGGACAGAGACTCAAAGTTTACTGCCATGTTTTGGCAGGTACTGCATAAGCAGATGGGCACAACATTATTGATGTCAACTGCATTCCACCTGCAAATGGATGGAATGACTGAGCATATGATATGCTCAGTAAGTCAGATGCTGCATATAACAGTAGCAGATGACCAGTCTGACTGGTGCTCACATCTACCTATGGTAGAATATGCAATTAATGCTAGTGTCAGGGGACTTAGTCAGCCTGTGTTGCCCTAACATATCTACCTAGAAGGGGCAGTCAGTCAGACAACTGTCTTGACAGATCATGCTTCTCTCACTTACCTCAAGCAACAAAAGGTTGTCACTTGATGCCTTGCTTGGTGAATTGAAGAGTTCTTCATGATGGATGGCACAAGATCATCCTCCAGCAGCATTGTGGTAGATGCTCAAGAGCTAGAGAGGGGATGGTGTCAAGTGTGTGCCAAGAGTGGCAGTGCAGGACCCTTGCGCAGCCTTAAGGCACCGGAATTTGATTCCATTAGACTATCTATGTAGCCTATATGTATATAGGGACAGATTGGCCTGCTGCAGGCCAATCCACACCACTTTTACCATCTAGTAATTAATACCAACCCCCCATGGCAGCATAGACAAGTGCACATGGCATTTGGGGGATGCTAGACATGGATGTCGGACCCTGACAGAAATTAGTACATTTTGTATTAGAGTAGTAATACAACTATCCTATATCCTACATAGTGAAGCAAATATGAAGAAGCTGGGGGCAAAACCACATGGGAAAAGCACATGGTTCACATGGCACCATGTGCAAGGGAAGTAAATCCAGACCCTAAGTCCAAAATTGGAAGTGGAACTAAATCTGCTTCCACTGCGGCAGTGTGGGTCCCTAGGAGGCTGAGGGTTACTTAATCCTGGCCCTTTTTAAACCCTACCTCTAACCCATATCCCCAAATATTCAACATATAATATATTAAATACATGCATGCAAGGTATAGCATGCATGAGGTATATTGACTACAGAGCTACATAGACTGAACAAAAGACTTACAACCCTAACCAAATAGGTATTCTACCCTGGACCTTCACTATATAAAGCACTCACAGAAACAGGACACAGGACATGGGAGATGAGACACAGGACACAGGACATGGGGACATGGGACATGGGAGATGAGACACAGGACACAGGACATGGGGACATGGGACATGGGGACATGGGACATGGGGACATGGGACATGGGGACATGGGACATGGGGACATGGGACATGGGGACATGGGACATGGGGACATGGGACATGGGGACATGGGACATGGGGACATGGGACATGGGGACATGGGACATGGGGACATGGGACATGGGGACATGGGACATGGGGACATGGGACATGGGGACATGGGACATGGGGACATGGGACATGGGGACATGGGACATGGGAGACAGGAGATGGGAGACAGGAGACAGGAGACAGGAGATGGGAGATGGGAGATGGGAGACAGGAGATGGGAGATGGGAGACAGGAGACAGGAGACAGGAGATGGGAGACGGGAGATGGGAGATGGGAGATGGGAGACAGGAGACAGGAGACAGGAGACAGGAGATGGGAGACAGGAGACGGGAGATGGGAGATGGGAACTATGTAGCAAATAAAAGGCCCTTGCACCTAGAACAATGAGCAAAGCGAGACGGGGCTCCCCTAGTTTCTCCCCTAATCGACAACTCGACAGTTGTATTGGGCCAAAGGAAGGGACCATGAGGTAATCAACATTAGTCATCCCAGTCCCCTCCATGTCCAGCGCGTCCCCTCGAACGCGTCCCTTACTCCCTCACCCTCACAACATGCCACCAAAACGGAAGTCACTGGCAGCGCCCTCTAATCAGCCTTCACCGAAACGAATAACACGGTCTGAGAGCAAGTCAAGCGTTACTCTCCTGGATAGGGAGGATGCGCCCACGCGACGACTATCAAAGCGCGGGTGGATGGTCGGGAAGGGGGAGGACGAAGAGGACGAGAAAGAAGAAGACGAAGGCGATGTAGTGGTAGTGGAAGTGATCGACACACCAAAAAAAGACAAACCGCGACAAGCAGAAACCAGCACGGGAAAACGACGCGGTCGACCTCCGAAGTACCGACCTCCTTCCCCCTCGGGCTCGCCAGAACTTGGTGACTCGGGAGCAGACTCACCCTTGCCTGATCCATTCACTCCTTCCAAGAGAGCAGGGAGGGAGAGGGGAGGGAAAGTCCTTGTGCAGTATGGGAGGAGGAACTCGTCGAGTAGGAAAAGGCGCTTGGACATCGAATCCGACGAAGAGAAAGAGGAGTTGGAGTCGCCTTCCAAAGGAAGATCGCGCTCCGAACGGAACCTTTGTTCATCTTTTATTACACCCATCCGGACACCGTCGAAGATTCCTCTGCCCGCAAGTGGATCGACTACGAGCACCCGACGAATCGGGCAGGAAGGAGACTCGGAGGACGAGCTGCTCCTGCAACGTTCACCACCTACGCCGCCCACTTTTTTGGACCGGGAAGGAGGGAAAGAAACAGAAGCATTTGGAGAGGGGAGAAAGACCCCGCTTACACGCAGTGGTGGTAAAAGGAGGGCGAGGATGGAAGTGGAGATCGTCATTTCTGCGCCTATCTCCAGGGAGAGGAGGGGAAGGAGAACGGAGGAGTCGCCGGTAAAGAAAACATCGGAACAAGAGCAGAGGCGGGAGGAGAAGGTTGTGGTGACGCCCACCCGGAAGAGAGGTAGACCCTCACGTCGGAGAGAGGAGGACAAAGAGGAGACTGGAGTGACGGTTGTAGAGGAGGACGAAGAGCAAAAGGAGGAGGAGCGAGAAGAAGAACAGAACTCCGAGGCAGAACCCGACCCGGAAAAGGAGGGAGAGCGAGAAGAAGAACAGCACTCCGAGGCAGAACCCGACCCGGAAGAGGAGGAAGAGCAAGTTCCCTCAGGAACAGGTGCAATGGCCTCCCCTTCGGCCTCCTATTCCCTCCCCACCCCTCTCCCAGAAGACCTCCACCCTTACCTTCAGGCCCAACAACGAGCCGTTCTTTCCTCCCTGCACCAGCCCTCTGCGAGAACCGAAGGTGCTGAGGGCGCCGTTGCCGCGCTTTCTACCTTGCTGCGGGGTACGGTTGAGAGGGGCGAGGGGAATAGCTGTTTGGTCTTAGGACCTAGAGGGTGTGGGAAGACCCGGGTATGGTCTCTTGCTGATTCGGCCTAAGCTCACTTGTGCTAACTGTGTTGCAGTCCGTAGAACTGGCCCTCAAGACTCTCCCACTCACGCCACTCGTCGTCCGTCTCTCCGGCCTCACGCATCCCGATGACCGTTCCGCCCTCCGAGAGCTGCATCGCCAAGTCCTCCATTCCCTCGGGCAGGCCACTCTCCCCGCCAACAGTGTTGAAGAAGACCCAGAGGAAGAGGAAGACACTGCGCCCTTTGCTGCCCTCCCACCTCTGCAGCGGCCACTTGTGGTCCTCCTCAGCGAATTTGACGTCTTCTGCTTACGGCCAAGACAGGCGTTGCTCTATGTCCTACTCGACGCCGTACAGGGCTTGAGAGGAGGAGGGATGGGGATTGCGGTCGTAGGGATGACCTCTCGTATTGTGCGTCTTGTTCCTCTTCTCGGGTCTAAGGCTGACGGTACTCGGGGATAGGACTGTGTCAACCTTCTGGAAAAACGTGTCAAGTCTAGGTTCTCGCATCGAATTATTCGCGTCACTCCAACAAAAGACGCAGAGGAGTACATCGCTCTCACCCGAGAATTGTTGACACCGGAACTATCTAACACTCCGGAGTTAGAAGATGGGATGGATCAATGGGTTGGTTTATGGAGTAAAGGTGTGGAGGTGATGTTGGAAGATAAGGAGGCGTGTACCATACTTCGCCAGACCTGGGAGCTGGTACACGACATCCGGGTATTACAGCGGATTCTCGTGAGTCTCCTTCATTACCTCCTCCCGAATGGCAAAGCTAATCCTCCCAGACGGAGCTGATGACACTACTCACTCCGTCCAAACCGTGGCCCACATCCGCTCTTCTCTCCCTCTCTTTAACAGCCCAGCGTGCCCCCAACCAACACGCGCATGTACCCACTCTCCCCGCCCCTGCCCTAGGGCTGCTTATCGCCGTGCACCAAGCTGGCTCGGCGGGGCACGACGTGTTTACTTTCCAACTGCTGGAGCATACGTACAGGGCGTTTGCGAGGGATCATGCAGGTGCTTTTGCTGGTCAGGGGCAAGGAGGTGCAGGAGGCCCAGCGCCTAGGGAGTCGCTCCTTTCCGTATGCTCTGTTTTCCCCTCTTTTACTGGACACGGCTAACCAAACAACAGGCATTCGATGACCTTGTCCGTACAAGAATCTTCACCCCTGCGGCATTGGCCTTCGCCCCGGCCATGCGGGAATTTAGCAAGTACAGGTGTACACTAGAGAGGGTGGAGATCGAGGATGCTGTTAAGAAGGGTGGGAATACGGGAGTGAAAAAATGGCTGAAGAGCTGGTCGGGACGTTGAATGGGAGTGATGTTGCTTTATCTTGAGAGATGGATTTGAGATGGTGCTGATTCGAGATGGTGCAGTGTTGGACATTATTCTGCCGTTGATCTGGGAATAAATTGGGAGGAATTTAATTTTCCCGTCGGTGAAGCCCGTAATAAAGGGGTTAAGGAGCGAGCTTGGGTGTTTGTTTAGATTAATAATATTAGCTCCATCGACGTCGACGGAACACTGATCAAACGACCGTCTCCGAGACGGCGTGTCGTTGACTTGCACATGGCCGACCCTATCTTTGCACCTTGAGCGCGCACGACCTTTGCCTCCTTCTCGAAGTTCGGATACGGGGAGCGCATGGTTGATATGATAACTGCAGTGCTGGTCTAATCGGCAAAATATGGAGCTCCTTATGGATCTGTCGTCCTTCATTGTGGGGAGATATGCAATAACCGTAGGATAAGCACCTTGGGCGTCAGAAGATGAAGATCTTCTTGCATACCTGAGAAGGGAGGATATGCCTTTATCTTCTCAGTACCTGCTGCTGGCAAGCTCTGTACTTCAGCTTAAACAATATCAACAACGAGGGGCATTGAAGAAGCAGAACGACTCGATGCCTTCCACTATACCCGACGATGTCGAGCGACCATCTTCCGCTGAACTAGAAGACGGCCCTCTCGACAAACCCAAGTCCACTCAAATTATCGCTCATGTCCAAACCATTCCCACAAACCTGCGCGACTCTGCCGCTCAGAAATTGGGGAACTTCACGCATGCATTCACGAGCTGGCAAGCGTTCGTTGAATGGGTGAGGGTGGATGATACCGTGCTAGACGAACATGGGCAGATGGGGAAGAGGAAAAACCAGTGGAGCAATGAGGGTGCGCACGCCCCACCATTTCCCTAGAGTGGATACTGAAACGTTTTAGTAGATCTTGATCCAACTCCGGCACAAAAGCGAAGTAAGTCCGTCTTCCTCTATAGGATGACGGAGAATGCTGACTGTGCGTCCCCAGCCTGGGCATGGTGGAACTATGTGACCTTCTACTGGGGCCTTTCATTCGGCAACTGGACACTCGGGAGCAGTATGATCGGTATCGGCCTCAACTGGTGGCAATCCATCCTCGTCATCTTCCTCTCTCAGCTCATCTCCTCTATCGCGATGTTCTTCAATTCTCGCGCTGCCAGCGTGTACCATATTGGCTATCCGTGTGTTGCAAGAAGCGTGTTCGGCATGTGGGGAAGCTACTACTTTGTCGGGGCGAGAGCGGCGCTAGCCATCATCTGGTACGGAGTACAGCGTGCGTTTCCACTCATTTTCTTCTATACGTAGCTGACGAAAGCAGTATTCTCCGGTGCCTCCCTCATGTCAAACATCCTCCAAGCCATCTTTGGCTCCTCATACACCAATATCCCAAACCATATTCCCGCCAGTGTGGGGATAACTAGCGGGGGCATGCTGTCTTTCTTCCTCTTCTGGCTTCTCCACCTTGGATTCTGCGCTTTCAGGCCGTATCAGCTGCGCCGTTTCTTCTGGTTCAAGAGCATCGTCGTCCTCCCAGCCTGTTGGGCCCTCTTCATCTTCTGTATGGTGAACACCCGCGCACAACTCGAACTCAGCACCCTTTCCCAATCCGGGGCAGGAGCAGGCGGCGCCTGGGGCTGGTTCTTCGTATCCGCCATTAATTCAGGCATGGGAAACACGGCAACTCTCATCACGAACCAGCCTGATATCGCCCGCTGGAGCAGGTCAAAGAGCGGGGCGATGTGGTCCCAGCTCCTGACGAACCCGCTCGCCGTTACCCTTTCCGCCTCCCTGGGGATCCTCAGTACCGCAGCGATCAACAACGTCTGGGGTTTGCAGCTATGGAACCAATGGGATCTGCTCACAGCTATCATGGATCGATACTGGACGAGCGGGACGCGATTCGCCTGTTTCCTGTGCGCGGCCACCTGGCTTCTATCTATCCTAGGCACGAACATCGCAGCAAATATGATCCCCTTCGGAAGCGACAGCGCAATGCTCTTCCCGAAGTATGTTACCATCCCCCGTGGGCAGTTTATCGTCGAGTTTTTGGCGTTCGCCATCTGCCCTTGGAAAATATTGAAGAGTGCTGGGGTTTTTACGACGTTTTTGGCCGGCTATGGTCTATTTATGGCCAGCGTTGTGGCGATCATGATCTGTGATTGTGCGTCCTTCCACCCTTGAGCGCGCCTGTGTGCAGAACAGCGGCTGATCGAACGCCCTCAGACTTCCTCCTAACAAACGGCAACATCTTCATTGGCCACCTATACGACGGTTCTCCGCAAAATCCGCACTATTATTACCACCGCGGATGGAACCTTCAAGCGCTCTTCGCCTACATCTGCGGCGTTGCACTCCCATTTGCAGGCTTTGTCGGTTCATTGGGGCCGCCCGTATCAGCCCCGGCGCGGGAGATGGGTCAGCTCGGCTGGCTCCTGAGCTTCGTCACGAGCTTTGTGGTGTATTATGTGGTTTGTAGGGTGTGGCCGACGGGAAATCAAAGGTTTGTACGTGAGAACGGACTGGGATGGGAGGAGATGGGAAGAGAGGAGATCATTTGCGTAGATGGGACGGTGGTGATGGGGAAAGGGTGGGATTACACGCAGGAGGTGAAGCACGCGTGAGAGATCACGTCACGTCCCAAGGAGAGGAGAATGTTGACGATTCTGGAGAATTATCAGAAGTTTTGGAAGGTATTTACACCTAACTGTGGCCTGTTCCGAGTCTGACCAGCGCTTGGATGTAGGATGTATTCGGGGTAGAATTGTATGTCTGTGGGCTGCTGGCCGCCAAAATCATCTTCGAGTTATTTAGGACCCCCGAAAATCATTTCCAGCGAACATACATGCCAACTGGGCATCGGTGGTAGACAATGTACGAGCACAGCCTTATGAGCCCCCTTATTGTTGTTGCTAAACGGAACACGCGCGAAGGCGGGAAGTGGGGGTCCTTTCTTCATGCTTCTGCTTCTGCGGGGGACGCAACTGGCAACAACGCGTTTCTCCCCCATTCCTGGCACGCGTCCCGTACGACAGGGGCACGATCATGGGCCTTGAACAGGCAAAAGTGAGCGGCGGTCGTGCGACGGTGTGCCAGCTGCGAGGTTCTGAACACGAGCATGTGCCCATGACCGGCCGGGCGGGCAATAGAGGGGACAGCGGCATGCCATATATTGGACTACCTGCCGACGCTGGCGAAGGCGTTCCCCCTTGAATGCTTTGGCACGCCGTGGGAGCTCCCATTCACTAAATTATAATGAGTACGCTAACCAATCCCTTGTGAGTACAACGTATGGTGCTTGAGGCAGGAGTTGAATGAGAGGAACAGTGGCATTGACCTCCCCGGAATCCCGTTGACCGGCAGCATGAGCTCCACTATGTCGCCCACGTAAGCATGCTCTTCCCCCTCCCCCCCCCTCCTCCACACTGATACAGAGTCTTTCAGCACTTCCTCGCCTCCCACTTCCACAACCTCGACCTCTAGTGGTACACAGTTGAGTACATCGTCGTCGCCGTCCACTTCCACGTGCGTACCGGTTCCCCTCGCAGATTCTCACAGCACTAAAGGTATCGAAATAGGGGTACATCGACGGTCTCTGTGCTGTCAAGGTCAGCTTGATCCATTGATATCCTGGAGGAAAAAAAGGGGAAAGTGCTGATACTCCCCAAGCTCCTCTTTGTCTTCTTCCTCTCCCACTTCCTCGTTGAGCACGGGGTGAGTAAGACACAACGTGCTGGAGTTTCACTCACTGAAAGCAGATCCTCGAGTTCTATTTCATCCACGACCACCAGTACAACATCCACTGTGACGTCTTCCACCAGCTCGTGCGGCCTCTTATTCTCGACCGCTGTTTTGTATGATTGACTCCGCACTTTGCCAGCTCGTCGAGCTCGTCTACTTCAACTTCGTAAGCTTTCCGAACATTTGTCCCGCTTTTGGACTTACTATCATCAGGCTTTATGTTGCGCCGGGATCTTCGTGAGTTTCCAGACCTCTGCCCTCTCCACTTATCACTGAGTGCAATACAGATCGTCAAGCGGTCCGAATGTATTCACGTATACATCCATGATGTACGTCTGCCTCCAAGACACTCAATCCAGTATTAACCAGCCATGGGTAGAGACCCACTAGCGACATCGTCCAGTGTCCAAGGTGCCACGAGCTCAGCTGGCTCCGTCAACGCAGGTGCGGTGGTAGGAGTTGTTCTAGGGGGATTGGTTGGCCTGGTGGCCTTGATAGTGATCTTCCTCCAAATACGCAGGTCTTTAGCCAGACAGCGGTTGGACGACGCATTGGACTCGGCTATCATGCCGTATCAAGTCGAGCCGCAGACCTACCAAGTCCCACAGGCAGGAACTCCTACACAACAAGCGCAGAATCGGTGGAGCGATATCGATCAGAATAACTCAGCTTCTTATCGTTATAGTATCCCTCCCGCATTCCGAGCGACCGCCTTCCAGTATCCTTTATATCCGCATGGACCCTCCCAACAAGGTGGAGCTAGCTTCACAAATTATCAGCAATAGGCTCGGGTCTTGAGGAAATACCAACATCCTTGCTTGATCTATTTGGATTTCCTCCATCTGTTGAGGAACACGGACATATATTTCTATAGAATAACGACGTACATTTGCACTGTTTTCATTGTTGAACGCGGAAACCAGGCACGCCGCACGCCCGTACAACAGGAGCAACTGCTCCACTGACTCTGTTCGAGGACTTGGGGAAAGCAAAAGAGGCTATATATCAGGGGCACGGAGAATAAGGAGTGTGGATGCCAAGCATTGCCCCCGAATAGAGGCCGCATCGGGTCCGTCTTCCCGGCGCCAACCGCTATCAAATCCCCTGTTGTGACCTTCTCTGCAACCATTTCTTGGCATCACAGGGGCAGTATAAGCATCTGTCGCTGTGCATTGTCTTATTTCTCTGGCAATGCAGTTGCAATGGCGTTAGATTTTGACCGATGATCGAATTTCTATTTCGAAGATTCTTTTCACCGTTCCTCAGGCAGGCTATTGTTATCTGAAAATCACCCGCAACCGCCCACGAAGTGCAGGTCGCCATATCGTGCAACCTGCAGGAAGCCGCGAGGGTGAACGAGGCTGTCGGCGCAAGTCATCTGTTACCCTGTCTCTGTCACCCGGAGCCGTCACCTCCGCATCTCCGGACGACACCTTCGGTCCACAACCTGTCAGACATTTCCAAGATGATAAGATGGTGTTTTACCCGCACATTCTACCGCCTCTTGCATTTTAAATACATCTTTCGCGCCGCGGAATCTGGACCATCACCGCACCCCAAAACTGGTAGTTCACTCAACTGTCACGTTCCTTGCAATTTGAGGGTCAAATCGCACGTGCAGTGCAATGAATTGCCTCAGATCCCCTGCGGGGAATTCGACGCACAGTATGGCGCACGCCACTATTCTCAACGAGGGCAATAAGTACCATATCAGAGCAAGCCCAGTGAGCCTCACTAGTGGAATCACGTTGGTACCTCATCTCCTCGCGCCCGCTTTGTCTCGGGCGGTGCGCATATCAATAAGCGCCTCGCCCTTCTTGTTTCTGGACATGAAGGGTTCAGCAAAGGGGAAACGATAAGTAGAGAAGGCAGAGAAGTGGTAGGCTCTGGGATAGCCCCATTTTCCGTGCGTTCCCCGCGATATACCCCTCTCCGTCATCATACACGAAGCTCGACCACGACATAAAGACACCACAATGAGTTCTACCTATCCTCAGTCCGTGCTTTAGCCGTTTCTATTCACCGAGCAAAATATTCACACATGTCTGTAGAGAGGAAGAGAACATTTGCATCTCGTCCTCCTGTCAGCAGCGGGACAGTTTGGTTTATCCGGACGACCTCTCCGACCTCATCGGCGAGCCTTTCCCTCCCCTCCCTCCTGTTCCGATTTCTATACCACCACAGCAGCAAAGTCGCACGTTTCCCATCATCGTGGCAAGCATGATACTGCTTGCGGTGTTTGTGTTTGTGTTGTGGTTTCCAAGGTCACGCTTGAGGGGGATATTAAGGAAGATGGACGCACGGGAGTGGGGTTGGGCATGGGGATGGAGGTGGAGCAAAGGGATACTATTGGTTGAGTCGGACGGGGAAGAAGAAGGTGAGGATGGCGAGGAGGATGGAATGGTAGACGAGAAGGAGGAAGGGATCGGATCGGTTTGGACAGACGCACGACCAGGGGCAAGAATGCGGTTGACGGCCTGATGCGTTCTGCTGGTCGATCCTGATAGCCGCGCACTTGTCGAGTATAATGTTGGGACCGGTTAGTGTAATGCACCCCCCATGCATCACCTTCGTGTCTAGTAATCATCCCTGAACTGAGATCCAGAAATAATCGTTGCGAACTGCACTGTGAATCTCCGACAAGACCCCTTAAGGGTGCATGGTATCTCCTGCGGTCGAAAGAAGACAGGATGGTTCTATCTTCAGTCTTGTCAAATCCATGACGGATTTAAACATTCTAGCATGGGCCCCGCCTCTCGATGCCCTGGATAAGATAATCGTTATTCCATTGAGAGGAAGGCAATAATCCGTTTCCTATGAGCCTTGGGTAAGGCAACTCTGATCTATCCCGCCTTTTAAGAAAGCTTCCTTCGAAGCATGGAAAGACAAGCGGCTAGAACGAGGTGGAGGGAAAGATAGACGCAACCGGAGGTGCGTATCTCCTTCTCCGACATCAGAGGCAAACAGGAAACGAGCGTGCATGGGTCCCTCCGCCTTGCTTTCTTGGTTTTGAGCTTTCACCACCTTGTTTATGAATAAGCAGTCAAGTGGTAATATCGAGAAAACTTCCAGCAAGGCAAACCAAACCAAACCAGTGTATCAGATGCTGAAGAGCAAGGCTTTGTCATCATCGTGGGGCGATCTACGGAACCGAGGTCAATCATTTAAGTCCCCGCATCAAGGGATCGCACACGTACATATCAGAGGAGCGCTCAACAAATGAAACAATCTTGTGCGGCAGTTCGCGGTATCCAACACCTTACAAAGCCAGCAAGCATCCACGCCACAACACCGCTAGGTGGCCTTGTTCGTAGAGGCAAACGCAGACTGTTCTATGGCACTTACCTCCCGGGTAAAAGCCAGAACGAGGGTGTTTTCCAGAGTAATGGTTTCGTGTCGAGTGCGGTGCGCAACATACTAGATATATGAATTCTGTACCCATGATTAACCAGTGGCTAACGTATGATGCGATGCTCACCTCAACAAGACAGGCCTGTGGCAACCTACCCCGCACAACCTGTTAGTGGTACAATGCCCAATATATTTGAGTTTTTGTGGCGTTTTTATCGCCTCTAAGCCGAACAACCAGTAGAAAGACGACAAATGTATCGCAACACAGACTGTCTTGGCTCGTATGGTGTTATGCGCGGAGTTGAGGAAGGAGCACAAAGCGGGCCGAGATAGACGCCAGGTATATATATCTGTCGAGATCCAGATTCTTCAGATAGACTCCTTCAAAATCATTAGATATTTCAAGAGAAATTCAATGTCCTCGCCTAGAGATTCGACGCCGCGCTCGGGGAACATTGCAGAGCTCCATTCCGAATGGGCGAGATCCGCAGGCGGCGTGTCCCATTCCCTCATCCACACAATGTCATTTGATACAGTTTCCAGAACTAGGAACTGTGATGTCCGCTGTGGCCGACAAGAGCGCCTCGAACAAAGGCGAAACGCGGCTTTCACGGCATTTTACCGATATACCGGGTCAGCGTCTCGGTTTGCCACGTATGGGGAGCTAGAGGAGAAGTTGAGGGAGCTGAGGTCGGCGGTGAGGGATTTGAGATGCAAGGTGAGGGAGACAGTCGACCAGATGAAGGCGTTGGCAAGGGATATGGAGAGTGCGATGCGAGGAACGGCGGCTCAGCTGCAGACAGGACCAGCGCGAGAGGTTGACGGTACAGAAGCTCCAGGGGGGGGAGCTCCAATACTAAATCCCCACTCTGATCGTCAGGAAAGCATGATGACGACAATCGAGCGTGCTCCGGTAGCAGACCATCCGCGCGCTGCGGTGAAGGGGAAGTGGACAGATGTCAATATTCGCATTCACGATCACTGAAGGCGAACCAACGGACTCCATGTAGAGCACATCTCCGTGTTGACGTGCATGTGCAAGTCCAGAGTGCGTGTCGCCCAGAATTGTGGAGGATATTAGGTCGACACGTACACTTTCGTGCGAGTGGCTTGCGGTCCGCAAAGGAACGCCGAAGTTGAACGGTCGCCCGGGCATGCTCTATTCAGTGAGTCACAGAGCGCATATACAACCTCCAGGTGGTGTGCAGGTCGACGTCATGCGATAAGGTGCCCAATCAAAAAGGCGCGCTGGACCGGAACTTTAACGGCACAGCCACTCCCGGCTCCCGACACGTGGGCTCGCCTCCTTTTCACATGTGTTGGTTGGCACAAAGTCTCGTCCAGAACGGGTAAACGCTCCTTTACGCCCTGTGAATCTCGGCCGCCGTGTCGTTCGGCGGCCATGCCAGTGAGGACCGTAGAAAAGACGATATAAGCGAGGGAGATAGATGGCGGATAGACGGACTACTTCAGTTACTAGGCTTGTCTCGACGCCGGAGGACAAAGCGGATTACGTTTCTTGAGATGCCATTGAGGATATTCGACGTCATCATCTCTCTTCTCATCGTCTTTGTTTCCCGCTTTGTCCTCGTTCGTCTCTGGGCATGGTGGCAGGCGTATCAGCTTGTCAAGTGCGGCCCTGTGCTTGTACTATCAGTGCGTTCGCTCAACTCTTTGCAGAGATGTTCCTGGCGGCGTTCACTGGCATTTCCAAGACCCGGAGTCCCAAGTTGGGGGTCAGCTCCCACATTTGCCATTGGGAGGCATCGGAGACTTCCACGCGAAATGGTTGCGTAGGTATAGTCTGCCTCTCACGAGGACATGCGCTCATTATTCTTGGACATAGCCTATTCCAAGACTCGAACAAGCGTCATAGTCTCGATTCCCTTCTGGCGTCCTGTTCCTATGTTCTGGGTCTGTGACACTGTTGCATTGAAACAGATTGCCAATGATAGGCACACCTTCCCTAAGCGTCCCGAGACGGTGCGTTCCTTGACCCTGTCCTCCGTGGATACGCTAAACCCTTGACAGTACCAGGCGATCATGTTCTACGGGCCCAATGTGGTATCTGCAGAAGGGCAGGACTGGAGGCGGCACCGTGACGCAACGAAGGCTGCGTTCGGAGAAGTGCGTGTTAATTGATATCAACTTCTCGGGATGCTGACTAACCTGTGGAAAAGTCAAATAACCAGCTTGTCTGGGCAGAGAGCATGCGCACTGTGAAGGAATGGTTCGAGGCCCTGGATTCAGGAAAGAAAGACATGCAGGGTGCCGTGACTCAAGAAGTTCACGGGGTGATGACTCGGGTGTGTGCTTTTCTGCTGTATGATAGAAACTTCTCAAGCGATGTCGACAGCTTGCTCTCTTGATCATCTCCGCCGCCGGGTTCGGAAGGCACGTCTCCTTCATGGCGGATGAACATCCTTCCCCTCCTCCAGGCTATAAGATGGCATTTCGTCCCGCCCTTCTGACCGCAGTCCATAACATGGCGCTAAAGGTCCTTGCGCCACGTTGGGCGTACTCACTGCCGATCGAGGTGCTGAAGAACACGGATCTGGCGTATTCGGAGCTGAAACGGCATTTGGAGGAGATGATCAGCCGAACCAGAGCGCAGTTGATGGGCGACAGTGGTCAGGGGAGAGGACAGGCTGATCTCTTCAAGCGGCTGATCTCGGCGAACGAAGTGGAGGAAGAGGGCAAGGCGAAGCTGAATGATAGCGAGCTGCTATCCAACACATACGTCAGTATTCCTCATACTTCCCTTTTCGTTCGCTCAGAGAATCACAGACCTTCCTCCTTGCTGGTCATGAGACGACCGCGAATGCCCTTTCCTTCGCCTGTGCCCTGCTCGCGATGCACCCCGAGGTGCAGCGTAAGCTTCAAGCCGAGGCGGACACTGTATGGCCAGACGGGCTGCCCGTCGACGGTGCAGAGTCCTATCGGGAGGATGTCAACAGTCTGAAGTATGCTGAAGCTGTTTTCCGGGAGACGACACGTTTGTTCCCAGCGGAGACGAGGTTGAGCAAGATGGTCTCACAGGACACACGTCTCAAAGCCAGGAAATGGGGCAAGAATGGTAAGGAAGAACATTACGAGGTTGTCGTTCCCCAGGGCAGCACGGCATGGCTGGACATCTGGGCTACTCACATGAGCCGTGCGTTGCGGTGTCAGACAATGCGAACAACAACTAATCATGGCTGATGTAGCTGAGTATTGGGGCCCGGATGTGAACGAGTTCAAGCCGGAGCGCTTCTTCGACACCGACACCTACAAGTGGCCTCGAGATGCATGTGAGAATACTTTCCCTGACGGCTTTAGGTACCTTGACGGCTGACACCGTGTAGACTTGCCCTTTATGATTGGACCTCGATCATGCATGGGCCAGCGATTTGCCGAGCTCGAGGGCAGATGCGTCCTCGCGCATATAGCAAGTCAGTACGATATCCTCCTTCCTCCGGAGCTGGAGAACGCAAGTGAAGAGGAGAAGAACAAGAAGCTACTGAGCTGGGATATCCGGGTTGCGTTGACCGCGAAGGATGTCACACTGAGATTTGTCAAAAGGGCCAATGCTGTGTAGGTTCTTGTTGTGTTCTTTCCTGGGCCTAGGTTCTTGTGCTCGATGAATGCATTAATAAGATAGGGATCATACCCGAACAGAATTTGTGATTAAGGAACAGACCAGTGAAATATTCGAAGTCGACTCAGCTCAACCAACGCGACACTTGTACACCCATTAGCACACATTCCAGCAGTGACACGGCAACACGTACAGCGTTAGCGACATCCCCAGAAGTCGCAGCAGTGGTCAATATGAGAGCGACGATAAGTCCGTAGATAGCAAGCACCTTTCACCGTGTTAGTGGACCGATCTCAATGTTTTGGCAGAACACTCACCTCGGCGAAGATGAGAATTAGGATCATCCCGACGAAGATCTTTGGCTGCTGTCCAAACCCTCTTGCACCAGCATCACCTACAATGCCAATGGCGAACCCGGCGGCCAACCCAGACAGACCAACTGAGAAACCAGCGCCGAGTTGGACAAAGCCGGTATATAGGGGCATCGTGTACCCCACTTTTGGCGGTAATCAGTCCGATAGAAAAGACGGTTGCGTGAACGCACTCACGGCCTCCGGCAATAACGACTGATACAACAAGCCCATAGATCTGTGTTCCCGTCATTACACATCTTGAGTCGTGGAAGGGGAGGGAGGGACGCACGCCGATGATACCGGCCATCACGACGGGCACAGATGCCCGCACCATCAAGTCGGGTCGAAGTACACCCATGGCTGCGATTCCCACTCCGGATTTCGCAGTTCCATAGCTTAAGTTATCGTTGAGAACGCATGGGACGCGTCGTGAGATAATAGAACGAACCTAGCACCGAGCGCTAACAGATAGGTGAGCAACAATGTATGGTCTCGGTGTTGTTGTACGTACAACATAGGCTGATCGCCGCTGTGCATCCCTATACGACGCTCTATCAGAAATTTGGACCGCGAGAAGACTGATATGATAGACGTACCACTGCACCAAAGAACGGCGCGTAGACTGGACAATACTCAGTTAAGCCGAGTGACATCTTGCAGCCGTGATCGTTCTAGTAGAGACTGTAGATGTCGAGTGTGTGCCAAGAGTGGCAGTGCAGGACCCTTGCGCAGCCTTAAGGCACCGGAACTTGATTCCATTAGACTATCTATGTAGCCTATATGTATATAGGGACGGATTGGCCTGCCGCAGGCCAATCCACGCCACTTTTACTATTCTCCCCTAATCGACGACTCGACGTAGACAACAGAAAGAACCCTCACGCGGTTTGCACGGCCTTCCGGCTCGAGGCAAAGCAAAAAGGGAGTCATCACATGATGTATACAGCCAATCGCAGCAGTTCACGGGATAGAAAGGGTTGGGCGCAGCCATAAGGTTGACAGTCATCTCGGGGAGACCCTGATGAGGAAGTACGGGAAAGAAGCGGGTTTAACAGCTCATGCAGGCCAAAGGGCGCATATCCAGGCTGTCAATATATAAGTATACTATGGTCGGTTCCTGAGAAGGGAAGAACAATAGACAGCGCTAGTGCCGCTCACTCTTCATATTGTCCTGTGTTGCCGGGTTCCCCCGTCACTTTATTCCGTTATTCGGCTCCGGGGCTCTTCCCACACAACGGATCGTTTAGCGCTCGGCGATCAATCCGCGCTTCTGGCGATCATCTCTATGAAACCATTAATCCATTCCGTTCTCGATTCGTCATATGTCATACATCAATACAGCCAGCGTATCCCCAAGGAGCGTGGCATTCTTGGATCGTAAGCCTTTGTGCACCGCCCGAGCTCGAGGTGAATATCGGAATGTCGGCATGATTACCACGACAACACACCGAAGCGGGCGTTAGCGGGTAGAAGGTGCGCACAGATTAGCCATATCTGAATGGCAATCAATGATAGGGACTAAAGCAGCTCTGTAAGTATCACTCACATTGTAAGTAAGGTAGGTCGTCTTATCCCCTGAGGTGCTGCGGTCCGCCCAAATCCGTGCCGCGACAACAAGTCCCAGGGTGTACATCAGCGTCGAGGGCACAAGACCTAGCTTCCAGGCGTTGACCACCACGGCGGTCCATCCCAACATAAGCAGGGGTGTAACGATTCTAGAAGCACCAGGGAAAACGATCGGGATGGTCCTGCGGCCCAAGGCAGCATCGCCTTCAATATCAGGGAAGTCCTGGACGTGGATAGTCGTCAGAACGATCATGGCTGACAAGACCACCGAGAGCTGGGCCTTGGCGTCCAAATCCGAAGTCTCGCCTGATAATTACCATAATAGACCATTCCTTCCTTGTTATTCTGCACGGAAAAAGACTCACCCATGATCTTCGTAGCGCCGATCTCAAAGGTCCCGTACCCATATACCGCACAGATATTCTTCCCAGCCCAATGCCCAGCAAGGCCGACTTCATCGTAAACTATCATGGTCAGGGTGAGCACGAGGCTAACAACGGCGACATCGGTCCCGAAGCTGAGTGAAAATAGGGCGCAGACGACCACCAGGGCCCAGCGAAGAAATTGGGCTTGACCGAACGTCACGCGGTTGGCGGGTAGCGGTCTCCAGGGCTTGTTGATCTTGTCTTCATCGCAGGTCTTGTATTGGTTCGATACATTGCATTGCAGCAAGTGAAGCCAGATCCAAAGCATTGCTTGTAGGAGGTGCGGGACGGAGAAAACGGGTGCGGCGACAGAAGCGAAAATTGTCTACCCCAGCGATGAATGCCGCTTCCCATGGCGGACTTTGACAGCGGCACTCACGATAGGAAAGAAAATTGTCTTGAAATCCGAGTACGTGAAAAGCAAGCCAGTGTACAGCTGATACTTGAACCAGGTAATTGTTGCTCGAATGGGTATTAATGGTAACGTAAGAGGTCGTTGGCTGGTGGAGGCAGCGGTCTTCCAGGCGTGCCACAAGCCAGACATTGTTGGTGTTGGATGATATGAAGTTCGTGCGACAGGGGTACAGATGAGGATACAGGGCGGCGGCGACGTCGTTAAGAGTACAACAGGCGATTCGGAACAGGTATATCCAAAAGGAGGAGTGAAGGAAGGGGAATCCACGAGTGCTGGAAATTGAAACGGCTGGGAGGACCGCTTTTGTACCCAGCCAGGACGGGAAAGGAAGTTGGGTACGGCATGAGCGTGTCCATGATATCTAACGGCTCTGACGTGCTGGAGCTGCCCGGTCCTCTCTCATGTAAGAGTCTCGAAGTGACTATGTGGGTCTGGGGAGTTGTGTTGCAGAGAGAAGCTAGCATCGTTTCGGCACATGGTCACCGTCAGTCGACCCGGGAGCGCCCAAGAGATTAGGCGAATATGCGGTACTTGGTGTGAAACAGTCCTTAGTGTGAAAGGGAAATACCGGCCGAAGGTCTGGAATTAATCACTTACACTCAATACCCGATGGCGTGGCCTGAGAAGCAGATAATTGAGGTTCTGATTCTTGACATTTCAACGTGAAAATTGACGCAGAAACTGCCGAGATTGGAGGCGTCCCGCCTTAACTCAATCTGTGGAGAATATTTTGATTCCGCAGCGATAATCATATGTTTTTCCGTAATAAACAACTCCCAATCTAACATTGGATTTAGATTTTCATACAATGGACATTAACAAGCCTATCTCAAACCATGGCGTTTCAAAGAACGAAGTACATTCTCATTGGACAAAGCATGGAGAGCATGACGGCGCTGAGCGGACCGAATGTCATTGAAACTCCGCCCCGCAATTCGCATCGGATGCTCTGGTCATTCGTGCAGCACTTCCTCTGCCATAACCTTTCTCGTTCCGATGACCTGCACATATAAGGCATCTTTTCCTTTTGCGATGACATGATGTGCGATAGGCAGTCTGATTCCAGTTGAGAACCTGCTGCCCTTTTTCCATGCGGCCCCATCGTGGACAGGAGATTTTGAGGTGCGTTGTTGGAATCCATCAGAGCATTGACGAGGATGTGAGAGAGCGAATCAAAGGTTCAGCCAAACGGAGGATTTTCATCGTGCCGAGGCTGCAGCCGCGGTAGAGCATGGCCTGAGGGCAAAGGGCTGGTCCTTGGACGATATGTGCGCAGTTGTTGACTGGCGGATTGTATAAATCGACTGGAATGGTCCAATCCTGTGCTGATAAGCGAGCCTCTCCGGACAGATTGAGAGATTCATACAATATCGACTGGAAGTTCCGACAAACCCGGTGACCGTCCCTGGGAGAAGCGATAGCAAGGAGTCAATGAAGTGGAAGCGCGGGTGTTTGGAACCCAATGTCGATGATAGCTGTGCAAAGATGTCCGATACCTTCCTTTCTTCCGGTTATTGATTGATGTGCAATCATCTTCATCGATGCGTACACTGGCGCACAGGGGCAGATGCAAGGTGAACGGAGGTGTGAAGTTGAAGCGAGCCTGCTGTATTCGGGTATAGCTTTGGAGCAGCCAGAGGGTGCTTTGCAGGCGCAACAAGCATGGGTTGCTGTTTCACGCTTCCACATGATCGGCGCTTCGTCGCTTATGTGAACAAGAGTGGCATGATAGGGCTCTACGGTGTGTCGTACAACTCGAGGATGCCTCGTGTTCGTGACCAAGACGCAACTTCGGAAGCTGGTCTCGGCAGGGACCCAAGCATCTAAGCCGACAACAAACAAGAGCGCGCAGACATAACTCAGCCGGACTAACTTCTAGTTCCGCATTTGCCCGCTCCCAAATGGGAAAGTTGAGACTTGGTCTCCGACGAATTTTTCTGGTAAAGCAGTAAGAGCGCTGATTGGCCCCAGAGACGAGGTGGCGGCATCCACCACAACACAAGTCCTCGGATAAGGGATACAGATCGGGCTAGCACCGGCACAGTATTTGTTATGGAATGAGCGTGTTGAGTGAGGGCTTGACAAGTGAAGCTGAAGGAACCCACCGAGGTTCATTTCATATCAGCCCCCAGGACCCTTCAACCATTCAAAGACCTGCTTGCGGAGGCGGGGGGGGTCTTTGTCATCAAAGTGCAGTATATCCGCCGACTTCGCGAACACATGCTTTAGTGTAGTCAGGAAGATTGGAAGTTCACAGGGGAACGACGTATCAAGGAAATCGTACCTGGTCTCCTCTTCACTTGTACGCTGCAACTCGATCTCGCAGTTTGGAAGCGCTCATCCGACTGCGCTTAAGCTTGAAATAAGCGCGGGAAAAGTGATAGATAATCACAAGGATGTACATCATCGGATTGTATACCTGACAGTTTGAATAAGAACCCTCTGTGAGAAGCATGTCTGCTTCTCACGCGAGACGGCTTCCATCCGCGATTAAGGTCCCGTTTCCGCCGATCGTTCCTGATGTTCCGCAGCACGCAGTTAAGGACTTGAAAAACACGTTGGAAAGATCCTTGACAGAAGTCCGAACGCATCGACTTGGTGATAGTGAGATTGATGTTGCTTGCTTTCGCAGTGTCAATTTTGAAGGACAAGTAGGAAAGTGTATCAGCATTCCGGCACAGTTCTATCGCTGGTCACCGTTTCCACACGGTCTTTGGCCCAGCTACTACGCCCAGCCATTGCAGAACGCAGGTTCAAAACTCGGGCACTAAGTGTCGAGTAGCGCTTCCCACTGTGTGAAGCATTTGTTGCGATTCGTGTGCCATGCATGCTACGCATTATCTGTTGAGTGTTGTGGGAGCCGTTGGTCGTAATACCCACCAGACAACCTGGCAACCACCGAGGCATCGATTTCGGTCCGGAATACCTGAGTGTATAACCGTGCCAAAACAGTGTGTGCGAACTGTTACCACCGGCAGTACTACGCCGTAGTAGCGCAGAAAGTCGGCGAATGCAGGTACAGAATGGATGAGAGCAGTGAACATTGAGTGATACCGTGCCTTCCTTGAACCAGTATTGAATGAGAATACAGAATGCCGGTTCCAGGCTGTAAACCGGGTATATCAGGAAATCCAAGCCAGTACAGCAGCACAGAATTTCCCAGTGGTTCAAGTGAGTTTGTAGTTCAATTGAGACAAGGGTGTTGGTCGTCAAGCGGTGGTGCGACGAAACAAGAGAATGAGGACGCGTCCAATGTTTGTTTACTCTTGACATTATGCACTCTTGTATTATTCATCTCCTCCTGACAATATATACTCTGTCAATATTACTTCTGATGAAACGGCCAACTGGAAGCTATGAAGCCTTTTGCATACAGTACCGGTAATTGATCAACATCTCGGCCAAGTAGATCAACATCGGCCCACATCTCCAGTACCCGGACCTGTCCTCACACGGCATAGAAGATGTACCAGTCCAAGAGAGCTAATGGATACTCAAAGGACCGTATCTTCACCTGTATACGATGGCTCGCGAAGTAGAGGAGCTCGATGCGCTCCTATCCCTTCTCACAGACGCAGTCGGCGTGGTCAAGTCTGCCTACAGCGCGCACGCCCGTCAACCGGAGCTGGAGGACGCTGCCGGTCAGCCTACGCAGCTAGGTGCGAGCGAGGAGCTGCATCAGGCTAGGAGGAACATCAGTTCCGCGTGCGGGCAGCTCGTTACGCTCGTTCAGGAGCCGGAGGACGCTCCTCCTTATGGCTAACAGCGTGCGTCCTGTTCTTCCCCGCGTAAACGACTTCTGACATTCGCAGGCTTTTGAGACAGCAGCACTGCGCGTAGCGGCAGGAGCCTGCGTGGCAGATCATCTCCTCCCCCACCCTTCCGGCCTGCCCATCACAGACCTAGCAGCGAAATGCGATATGGAGGCTGACAAGCTTGCCCGTGTCCTCCGCCTGCTCGCGTGCAAACACGTATTTCGCGAAGTCGCTCCGGGAGTGTTTGCGAATACTCCCCTGAGCACGCGGTTAGCCCGGAAACATGGGATGTGGGACTTGGTGAACCACATGTATGCACTCGCGTCCGATGTCGCGAGAAAAGGCTGACAAGCTGAACGCTGCAGAACAGACGAATGCTTCAAGTCCTCCGCCTATCTGTACGACGCGCTCGCCGCACCCGTGTTCAAGCCCCCTTTCGCCCATGCGTACAAGCACGACGCCGGGTATTGGGCGTACATGGCTGGAGTTGACAAAACCATGGGAGCACGGTTTGGGAGGGCGATGCTGGGTGTTGACATGGCTGAAATCGGACCGTTACTTTCCCGTGCGTTGCCCTTCTTCTGCATGTGCATTGCTGAGTCTTGCGTAGACTTCCCGTGGGAGACACCCCCCCCCGGAACGACAGTGTGCGACGTCGGGGGAGGGGTAGGCACAGTGAGCCTCGCACTGGCCAACCGGTTCTCGCAGCTCAAGCTAGTGGTGCAAGACACGCCCAATACACTGGCCCAAGCCCGTCTAGAATGGAAGGAAACGGCGCCCCAAGTGGTCAGCGAGGGGAGGGTCGACTTCCTCCCTCTGGACTTTCTGACCCAAGCCCCGAACGTGGGGTGCGAGTATTATTATGTGCGTTGCTGTTCCGCTCGGCTTAGGAGCGATGAGCGGAGCGAAGCTGAGCAAAGGCAGCTCAAGCATGTGGTTCATGATTGGGCGGACGAGGAGGCTGTGAGGCTCTTGAGGAACGTAAGGCAGTCCATGGGCGCTCATTCTCGCGTTCTGATACGTATGTCCTCCCTTTCCCCTCGCACTCTGTCTAAACCCAAGCGCAAGCAGACGAGTTCGTCATCCAGCCTCTCTTCCCTCCTCCCACCGACCCTCGAGAAGGAACAACATCATCCGCCCCTTCCCCAAGCCTGGCACCCGACAGCTCAGCGCTACACGCCCACCACCTAGACCTGACAGTCCTCTGCCTCCTAGGGACCAAAGAGCGTACGCAGGGGGAGTTTGAGCACCTGGCGAGGAAAGCAGGGCTAGGGTTTGTCAGGCTTTGGAACCTAGGAGAGTAGGGGTTGTGCGTGTTGGAGTTCTCCATTGAGGGGGTGTAGCTCGGTGCTTAGGGGGATGTAGTGTACGATTTCAGAGGGGGGGGGGGGGGGGGGGGGTG